GGGGTAAAATGTCTCTGACAAAGTTTTTTTGTGACATCCATGGACTGTGAGGCTCTATTGTTCTATTGTTGTTAGTTTTCCAAAAGAGGGAAAGGGGGGGTAGGAGGACACACAGAACACAGCAGACTACACAACACATACACCACACACAACACACCAGACTACACAACACATACACCCCAGCAGAACACAGAATACACACAACACACAAAACAACACACACAGCACTGAGACAAAGTGGGCGAGACAGTCAACACAAGGATACTAGGGTCTGTTGACTAGGGAGCCTTAGACCACAGTCAAGGGAGGGCTGGGGGGGGGGTGGGGTAACAAGACGGAATGCCAGTGGTCTACCTGTCCTCTATCTCTAGGGGGGGGGGAGGAGGAAAAGACTGGAACTCGAGTGTATCACAGCGAGCACACACTGCAGCACCAAGCCAGAGCCTGGCACAGACAACATCTCGCTTCCTGTGACAGACAGGACAGACAGAGAATGCCGTAGAGAACCAGAGGAAACAAGTTCATGAATATGCATATATGTAGTATCATTGTCAGTCAGAAATGTCAATTTACACTATCTAGAAAAATAAAGTATATCTCTATCGCAACAACACCATTAATTTCAACATCAAATCTAAGCACAGTTCCAAGGTCAAAAAGTTGCTCTTCCAAATACATGTACAACCAAAAGGAAACCCAAAAAAGCCAACATGATAATAAGTCGTTACTGCAAGCCAACAAGATCCTTGTGATATAGTGATAAAACTCTCTGTGGTATACAATGGTATAAGCAATAGTTGTAGCTAGTACTTTCCTGGTAAACATACCTTTGCAATAAATGAATCAAAGGGGGACAAATGAATACATTTCCTGAGTAGATATACTAGGGAGGGCGCTATGTATAACATTCTACATGCTTCCAATCATGCCAGCCATACTTGGCACACCTAGACACTGGTCAGTGATAGTCCGATGTTCCCAGCAGAAGACCAAGCTACCACTGACACACCACTGACGCTGTGACTGACAGCCCCGCTAGCGTCCCGTGACATGGCCCGGCGGGAGGACATCCTCTGACATCACGGACAGAACAGACGGACACTCGGGTACCCCACCACTGTCCTTGCACCACCACCTGGCTACACAGGCTAGGAACCATCTACCTTGCCGTGGTCACACTACACTAAACTGGACGTACTGTATACCAACCATCTACCTTGCCGTGGTCACACTACACTAAACTGGACGTACTGTATACCAACCATCTACCTTGAGGTAGTCACACTACACTAGACTGGACCTAATGTATACCAACCATCTACCTTGAGGTAGTCAAACCTGACC